AGAAAGGAGTCATTTGAAATAACAGAAGTCTCAATACCAGCATGATTTCTTGTGAATAAGACAGGTATGTCTCAAAAAATATTGTTATACGTAATCCCTTGCATAATTATAATAAAATTATTCCTTATGAGTCTATCACCATATTTCTGATCAATGAATACCATTATCTTACACCAAAATCATCTTGGCATGAGCGTACATCTGATTCTGAGCATTCTGATTTCAAGACACACACTACAAAGTTGCTCAGCTGCCATCAGTAAAATACAGTGGCTGACTCTTTGATCAACAGTCTGCAATTCCTCACTACCAACTGGAACTAGACTTGGAAGTTTAAAAGATCGTGCAAGTCTGAATGACCTATGCTAGCAAGCCATTCAATCAGCCTCACATTTACCATAGAAAATAATAATAATGACTGAAAAGCACACGTTAAGTTAGGTTTTATAACAAAAAACTTAGCATTACAATGGCTTTTTTTTCTTTAAGCACCAGTGGAGCACTGAAGCAGCAAGGTAGAAACCTGAAATCTAGAAAGAACTGAATACCACAACCAGGCCGTTACTGCTACACAAAAACATCAACCACAGAGCACCTGCACCAGCTCTTTTCCATTCATATCTCAGAAGAGGAAACGCCAGCAAATATGACACAAAATTTCAGTTGCAGCTGAATTTCGCATCTGATTTAGGAGTGTCACTGAAAACAGATGTACCTGTCTGTAGCAGGAATGCTCCAAGAGCTACACAAAGTAGCACATGCAACTGGAGGGGCATTGTTTTGTTTTGTCCTCACTGATATTTAGCTAGCAAAAATGCAATGGATTTCTTGGCAGTGAGAGAACTCACACAGGTGTAGTAGCAATTTCTCTTTTTACACCATGTTAACTCGCATTCTAAACCTAAGAATGCGTTAGGGACATTTAATCCTTGCAGTAGAGCAACTATTCCACACTTTATTCAAAGCTTCATGGCTGATTTTTTTTTTTCTTCCATCTGGCTAATGGGCATCACCTCAGCTCCTTGATGAAGACAGTGCCAACTTACTCTGAGAGTTTAATGCGGTTCATAGAACATCCAGACTTGGGTTTCTAATCAGCACAGCCTTCTACAGCAAACTGCTCTGCACTTAGAATAATTTCGGTCACGCTGTCTGAGTAAGGAGACAAAGACCAATCACCACAATATGTCAGCACTACTGCAACGTCCACCAAATGTCCACTTGCCTTGTAGAAGAGGCAGCTTAATCAAATCACATCTGGACAAAACAAAGGATACTTTGCTTTGTTCAATCCCAAAGTACACGTAATAAAATCAGATGTAAGGTTTTACCAGATCTAAGTATATCACATTTAATGACTAATAGAAACCAAAGGGTTCACAAGTTCACACTCACATAAAATAAGTCAGCAGAAAACAACTTCAATGATGATGAGAGAAGACAAAGAGATGCAGATAGCTGAACAGGTAACAATTAGGTAACTTTGTTACACAGACACACATAACTGGTTCTCGCGCTGATAACTGAGTAATAACCTGCGATTTCCTCTGTAAAAGAAGATTTGCCTTAACAGTAAAGATTTCTTCATGCATCTCTTTTAATCAGGGGAGGAGCTAAGCCTTAATTCACTGCATATCCATCTCCTCCCCCCTTAAGGAAGGTTATCAACTTAATAGATAGCTTACAGGAACTTCTGAGCAGAAAAAAACCTTAAGAGATCACAGACAAACATACCATTATTGTTGTCTTTGTAGCACAATATTCTTCCATCAGATTGTAATCCTAGAGGGGCTCATTTTCAGATGTCCATGAAAGCACATGAAAGTAGTTTCACGCACACCTTCCACCCCTCTGTGGCATTACCATTTATAGAATTAAAACTGAATTGCAGCTTGCACCACAGAAGGACTTCTGATGGAACATCACATTCCAAGAAACGCGGCTCAAAGACAAAGCATCATCCACATACAGATGATGATACAGAACAGCAGATCATGTCTGTGGTACTTTCAGATTGCATAGAGAGTAAACCCAAAGATTAGATCATCTCATTAACTGACACATACATCCACGTTAGGGGCTCTGTGTCATGGCAGACAACTATAAAAACTCCATTTCAGAGAGGCTGCTCCTTTAGGGATGGCAGCTTATGCTGTAACATAAACTACAACAGTTTTGCTGTGAAGGGCTAAACACTGTAAGGATAGACAAGTAATCAGGAAGTGGAAGCAAACAAAATCCACGTATTATAAACCAATTGTTAAGAAGGCTTATGAGAGAAACACTTTGACTGTTCCAATAAACAAAGGTGGTAACTGTTCCCAAGAGTCCAAAGGGCAATAAGAGTGATATCACGGACAGGAAGATAAATTTAATTATTATTTCAGTGTAAGGCTTACACTTTCCCTTTGAAACATCAGAAAGGCTTTTTACTTCCACTGAGAATGTCGTAGGGGCACTTGAAAATATTAAAACCCTTGCATTTCATTTTCCCTAAATAACTCGTTTAATCAAGTTTTTCCCCATTCCCAGCACACAGGCAGCTTTTTATTTCAGGACAGAAAAACAGAACTTGAACCAGCTGGTGTTTCTTGTTTCTTATGGAAACCTTGTTGGGCTTTACTTTTATAGTTCATGGATTAATTTTTATAGTTAATTGACTAATTATGATTAATGATCCTCGAGTAACAAATCAAGATAGATTAGCGGGAGACTAGAAAGTGTCCAAAAGGAGAAATATATATATATATTCCCCTCAAATTAAATAAAAAATCATCAGCATTCACAGATCGTGGAATTGGTTGAGTTGGAATGAACCCTTAGAAGGCCCAGCTAGGGTTATCTAGTCCAACTCCCCTGCAATTAACAGGGACACCTACAGCAAGCTCAAGTAGCTCAGAGCTCAGTCCAGTCTGACTGAGAATGTCTCCAGGGATGGGGCTTCCACTACATCTCTGAGCAATCAGTTCCAGTGCCTCACCACCCTCACTGTAAATGACTTTTTCATCATAACACACTCCTATTTACACTCCTGCAGCCCACTGCTTGTAATGGAACATTATCCAAGTGAATGCTTCCTGGGTCCATTATACTTCCTGCCCTTCTGAACATACAGAATATACTTCTGAACAGCAGCTAAAAAGAAAGACTCCTAGAGAAGAGCTATGAGTTTTTAATTGGCATTTCCCCCAGTTTGCCATGGCCAGAACATAACACTTAAAGACAGAAAGAGCTCACTTGCAATAGCTCCTTATTCTAAAAGTGCTGCTCTATTTGTCATTAAGCTATCAAAATCTTACTCACAAGAAACAGGATACTTAATGTTCAAAAAGCAACACTTCTTAATGCAGAAGGTATCAAAATATGAGCACTTGAAAGCTTTCAAATACAGGTTTAATTCATAAAAGTCAGCTTCTTGGGAAGAGCACCCTCACCTCCCACTTACCTTCATCTTAAAAGTTTTGTCACCATAGGTAGGAAAAGTAACTTCTAAAAAAGCCACATTTCATACCTTTCCTTTACATTAATGTAACTTATAATTAGTATATTTAATTCAAACCACATTTCGTTAAATTGGAAGCATTCCAAGATCTGAACAATTAGTTAATACATATCTTACAAAGTTGATGCACATGATTTTTGATGCAGTGCCACGTGAGATTAACATTCTGATTCCAAAAATGCATGAGCAGTTGCACTCACTGTTTAGGGAGAAACTGGAGGTTTTTTTTTTTACTTTGTCTGACGGAAACGTGCATATATTTACTACACTACTATGTTAAATAACTGTGAGAAGAGTCAGCCAGCTGTCTTTTGACTATGTGACAACATGAATTCAAACTCTCTCTCTAAGTTAAGCAGCCCAAAGATAGGTATATCAGCTAGCCATGCTCCACTCAAGGGGTTTAGAACAGATTGCCCAGTAGGGTCTTTCCTCCCTTTGGTTGCAGTTCCCTGCCCCAGAACTGAGCCACATCATCATGCTAATCCTAGCAAAAATATAAAACATTTTAGTTTAATTGTTTCTCTGCTATTTGTTCTTGCAAAATTAGCATAGGGGAATGTTTTTCAAAGTTTGATGAGTATGAGTAGCAGAAGAAAGCAGATGGGGCGGCTGACAGCCACTGCAGCATGGCAGCAGCATGACAATCAGATGTCACTAGGCTCTCATAGGAACACAAACTTCATTTCTTCAGACAGTTCAAACAGCCAATGGTCCTTCTCAGAAAGTTCAGAGCCCATGAGCACATTCTTTGCAGGAAGGTTTACAGGTATGTGTATCTTTCTGTGCACAGGTCAGGCGCTTTAATGCCCAAGCTCTACTCCTTTCTTCATTCATAACTTATTTTACCATATAGCATGAGTTAATTTCAGTCCATTAGGCTTTTTGCCTATAATAGGACAGTCCAATTCCATTCCCCTCAGCCATGCACTCCTGCCACTAAAACAGCAATAAAACTGCTCTCAGACCAAAAAGGTAGGAAGCAAGGAACAAAGCATAGAGCTCCTTGTGGGAAAGGGGAAAGAGTTTGAAGATAAGCTAGGTAGAACAATGCAGTCCATGTTGCTAGTTGTCATGCAGTTATTTGGCTCAGACACACGGTAGAACTAAATTCTAACCAGGTTCTTGGCTCAGATAAGTTTTAAGAGCTCCAGGTTAAGTTATCTAGTTAACCTCCTGCATAAGTAGGTAACAAACGCATAAATGAAGATTACCCTGCTTGTGAGGGCACACAGTGCTAGAATACAGCATCCTAAACCTGAGGGGACATCTTTACCTGTCAAATCCCAGTCCTGCTGCTGCTGAAACTAAGTACAATTAACTCCAGTGCTAACAGATCTGATCCCAGGTCAGGATCTCTACCCTGTGAGTAAACGTAAAGTCACATTCCTCAGGGACTTCTAAAAGTAAGAAAATCTACTAAAAAAAGGAAAAAAAAAGAAAAAAAGAAAAAGAAAAAGAAAGAAAGAAATGAAAGAAATGAAAAAATAAAGTCTACCTGTTTCCACAGTTTCAGTCTCAATTTCTTGTTCCTCTGCTACATCTTGCATCAGATAAGTCTCGTCATCATAAACCAGGACCTGAGCAGCATAACCCTGTTCTAGTCTGGCACTAGGCACTGGCTCCACAATCACAGCTGGGAATTCAGAGACTGGCTCATTTTCCTATAGAAAGGGAAAAAAAAAAAAAAAAAAACCCTCTAAATACTGCACTGTTGAACTCGAAATCAGTGTTTTCCTCTTATGCTTTTACATATTTTTTTTAATAATTATAACAATTCTGAAGATTTTTAAAGGAAATTTTGTTCTAAAGGAAGAGATTACAAAAAACAAAGTAGAGCTTATTGTTCACCCAGGGGATACTCCTGAATCTCAAAGGTCTTTTTTACTGACTCTAAGCACTTAAAGTTATCTGATGCTTTAAATCTTAAGATATTGGAAAAGACCAAGCTTCTAAGTTACTCAGCTTTACGAAGTGTTTCTTCTCCCTCTGCTCCACATGAAATGTAATCAAGCCTTTGTGCATATACTGCAACATGCCTTTGTCTGACCTGTATCTTATGAACATTCATGTTTTGGATTAAGTATGTAACTTACCATAAAAGAACTAGCTAATTTGAAGCCCACATGCCTATCTTTCTTTGTTTAAGGATCAAAATATCCGTGACAGTATATTTAATCTGTTCAAGTGTTGCAGGAGTAGAACCCTGCCAGCTACAGTATTTACTACAACCTACAGGACAGTAGAATGCTTTTGATGTGGATTTTTTTCTTTTCTTTCTTTTTTAAGAATGCAAAATACAAGCAAATACAATGTTTGAAAGACGTTCTTCTATTGTTTTGCTCGCCTGATCCTACCTTAAGTCACACCTAAGACCTTTAATTTAAAGAGATGCTTAATATGCAATTTAATTCTGGAAGCTCAGTCTACAATTGTACAGCAGACTTCAAAGCTTCCTACATCCACTTCTCTGCAATAAAACATCCATCTACTAAGAGATCCTTGAAAAGCGATCTGCTCTGCAAACACTCCCTAGTCCACTTCACACACAAGTTTACAGCAGCTTTTTCTTCCAAAGTAGGATAGAAAGTATAAATCATGTTAGTAAATAGATTCTATTTGTCTAACCTCATGGTTTTTCATTCCATTGCTGTCGAACTCTAGGCCAGGGCCTCCAGTGTCAATCACTGCTGATGTCATGGTGCATCCCCTGAAGAGGCTTGGAGAGCTGCTCTCTATCCCAAGGACTATAATGCTGATAGGCTGAGGTTATCAAAGGCTTACATTCACAATCCACTTCTGTCAAACAGCTAGGCGAGGGTGGCTGAAATACAAAATAATTTTAAGTTATTTGCACAGCTGATATTAAAAAGACTTTCACTATTTAAGAAAGTTACTGCATGCTGCATCTCTACATCAAGAAAGGGCACCAGCGAACACAAGAGAAAGACTGTACTGACCTTAGTAAAGTTAACACTGAATACTGCCATATAGAAAAGACAGAACTTACTCGTCAGACTAACAATCAGATTAACTATTAATAAAAAGATAATAAATAACAACGATGCTGATGTTTGACATCAGTGAGAAATTCAAAGTTACAGAGGCACAGATACATACAACTCATGCAATTTGAGCCAGCACGGCTTTTCTAGAGCTGCTATTAAGTTAGGATATGTTTTTTTTAATGACACTTCCTTTTTTCTATCGATTCCACAGCCATAAAGCTATAGATTCATTATAACATTTTCAGCCAAATTGCCTTTTTGCAATATAACACACATTCCATCAATACACATCTGATTTCTCATCTACGGTTATCTTTTAAATTAAAGAGCACTGTAGCAGCACCACTTTATCCTTTTTCTAGAGTCTGAAGAAGGTAATTTCATATCACAGCACTCCAAGTTGGGTAAATCACAGACTGGTTGAGCTAACAGAGATACGCAACCTCCACCTCCTTCAATCTCTCCTGACTAGACTGAGGAGCAGAGCTTTGTTTCTAAACAACTGCTATATATTTAATATAAGTATTACTGTTTATCTCCTCTTTTTTCCAAGAGGCAGATAAACCCTGGGCACTGAGGAGCAGTTTACTACTGCAAGATGCAACCTAAGAAGTTTAGCTTCTTAGCTCTACAGGAGAAAGCACATATTCCACGTCAGACATAAGAAGCCAATCTGATATCAATGACCCTAGCAGCTAACTCCTCTGAGATCAATGCATTGGAGCAGGTTGGATGGGGCCCTGAGCAACCTGGTGTATTACCAGATCTGGAGGTTGGTGGCCCTTCCTGTGGCAGAGGGTTGGAACTTGATGATCCTTGGGGACCCTTCTAACCCAAGTCCATGATTCTATGATTGTAATACAACTCCAAAGCCCAACGTAGACAAAAATAACCAAAAGGAAAAGAAAAAACACTTATCCTGGAAACAGACTTTTCTACTTTTCCATGTACATCCACATTAGAAATATTGCCAAGCACAATCATAACCCAAAGAAAGAGTCCAACAAATGGAAAATTTATTTCAGTTTGGAAGCACAGACTCCAACCAATTCCAAGCCTCAACATTATTCCTGCAATTCTGGAATAACGCACTGATACAAAAGCAGAGGGAGCTTCAGGCAGCACTTTTGCATAGCCTAAGCACATCACAAAGCTAACCTGGTCCCCATGCTGTATGGCAATACAAATAAATATTCATACACTAAACCATGAGTCCTGTATGGTCATATTGAACCTACGATAATCCCACACAGGTGGCTAACACAGCTGCAGCAAGAGAGAACATTTCATGGGGTTGGACTCGATGATCTCTGGAGGTCCCTTCCAACCCCTACAATTCTGTGATTAGATCAGATTATGCCAAAAAAAAAAAAAAAGGAAGAAAGAAATGTATTTATTTGCCTCCTAGGATGGAAGAAGCTTAGATGACTTCTGCACTGATTTCTCTCTAAGTGAATAACCAATTACCTATAGAAGCAGAGTTAGGGTGATGTAAGAACACATATGCTCTTAGATAATCCTCGCTTTCCAGTTACAGCCAACATTTCTAATGAATAAAACCCTCAAAGAGAAAACTATATGGGAGAATCGTTAGTGCACTACACCCTTGCATTCACTAAAAGGTTGTATATTTAGACAGATGACACAAAACAGTCCAGGAAAGGAATGAATGAAAGCCACGGAGTCTCTGGTAATCAGGATTCCAACTTTACACAGAGAATCTTCCTATTCAACAACCTGGCAGGGTGGAAAAAGACAGCAGCTCACCGACCCAGTTGCACTGCAGCCTGGTTTAGCAGTGCTCAGAGAACACACATCCTGGTAGGCGTGTGCTGTGCACGCGATAGATTCCTGCAGACACATCTCTTGCTGAAGGAAGCGGCCAAGCGTTCGCTCTCTACCCTATCGCAGGGCACGCAGGGACACCCTCCTGCCTCCACCTTGAATCTCATACAACTCTGGGCCTGCTCCCCATCAAGTCCCTTACAACAGGGAAAAGGGCTTTGCTGCACTGTATCTAATTCTTTTTACACATACCCTGTGGGAAAACAGAAAGAAAGCTAGCTGCTCTCACCCTCAGAAACTAGAATCGCAAAATGGTCTGTGCTACATACCCAAGAACCTCCCCCAGAAATCCAAACGCTCCTATGATGCTTTCAGCAACTACCAGACAAGGTTAAAAACACTGCATGCCACAGCTGTGCTGAGTATGTAACAGCCATCCAAAAACAGAACCTTAAGTCAATCCCTCGGTGTACAACAGCAAAGCAAGCACACAGCTCGAAAGAATTACAAAATTAAAGTTGATAAGATGGCACAGCACGTCACCTCTCCAACGCCAGGTTGGGCTCAAAACAAAACTCAGCATAAATCTGCAGGTCGGTTCAGTTTTACTTCAATTGTAAGCAAACAAAAGAAAAAGAAAACTCGGTGCTTGAAAAAAGCTGCACACACTTGTACCCACACAGAAAACAAGAAAAACACCCAGAACGCTGGGTAGCACTGACGGGAGGCAGCTGCTCCTGCAGCACTCAGAAAACGTGTAAGAGCCTTTGGAACAATGTCTCCCTTTTATTCAGTTGGCATCCAAAACCCCAAGGATAGATTTATGCGGATACCTACACAGATACAGCCGCAGGAGCAGGACCGCGGCCAGCAGCACTATCACATACCAGTGTTTTCAAGCAGGCCTTCCTTTGGTTTGGTCAGAATAGCTAAAGAAGTTGGCTTGCACACAGAATCAGTTGTACACACAGAAATGCAGTGGCTGAGGTTGCCGCCGAATCCCACTAACTGCAACAAGGCTTCCTATGGGTACAGCAGCAGCCTTGCACAGGCAGCACCTCGAGCACACCAGTAAATGTCATTTCTCCCTGAGACCTACAAACTTAAAAAGAAACACGTTATGTCAACTGAAAGGTCTTCCCAAGACGTTTTCCCTGACAGAAGAAATTGTGAGTTCATTGTGTTTTCCTGAAATGCCAAACAAGTCTAGAATCAGAAGCTTCTGCAAAAGCAGAAAGAACAACTCCTCCATAGCTAAAGAATCACAAGGTCTGCTGAAAAAGCTAACGTGCGTCAATCTCTGCATTTCAGGAAAACAAAACAGACAGTCTGGGCTAGTTTCAGCACCTTATCAACTACAACAAAGGGTAGAGAAAAAGAACTCAAACAGGGGAGTGCTCAGAGCACACTGTCCTGCCACAACACGTGTCCAAGCACCAGAGCTCCCATCTCACAAAGCAGTCATTCTACTGCTGAACACACAGGAATTATTACCATGGATCCAATCAACAGCGTACCAACACAGCAAGGAACTCGAGGAACTCAACTTCCATATATATTTAACAAGAAACCTGACCATCCAAAGTTTGTTCTGGAAGCTCAATAGCTGAAGCTGATGAATCCCAGGACGCCTAAGTTCATGGTGACGTAAAAAGCACCAGCACTCTGCAGAAAGCTTTGTGACTTCAGTACACCTATCTGGACCCTGCCACGTTTTACCCTACGAGCAGGCTCCCTTCCCAGTGGTCCTGAAACCTTCTCGCCCCTCACCGCCCCGTTTGGTCCCAGCCCTCCTCTCCCCCCGTGTCAATTGTTGGCCCTTAACATCCGTTTCCACTCCCCGGCAGGCCAGAGTAGGGAAAAATTATTCATCGCTTTACATAATAAAAGAGCAGGGACCAACGCGAAGAAAAAAGTTAAGGATGCGGGTTTAAAAACAAAACAGCACAACAACAAAGGAAGCGACACGCACAGAACAGGATTCATTTTCAAAGGATGTTCTAGAGGCCAAAGGGGTGAGAGCAATTCAAGTCAGGAAGTTATGGAGATACAGACCCTCACCGGCCTAAGCGACCGCGCAGCACAAGGATGCACAGCCTCACGTTCTGGGGCTTTCTGAGGCAGGCACTGCTGGAACCTCAGAACGGAGTGCCACCAAAGGGGCCGTACAAAACCTCCCTTTTCTCAATAACTGATAGCAATGGAGATAGGCAGAGCGCGGGGAACCCTGGCTCAGACCCACAGCACGTGGACCTGCAGCTTCCTCAGGATCCGGGAAGCGACGGCTGGTGCAAACAACCACGGATCCAGACCTCTCTGTTCCTCAGCACCCAATAAACCAGGCAGCTGTACCAAAGCCCCGGGAGGAGCTTTCAGCGTACGCTAACGCGTCGCTACAAAGCTTTCTCCAACACGCCAGCAGCACGCACGCCGTTTCGATCCAAAGTTACGGCACGAAACGCGGTCCCCACTCCCCAGCTTTCAGGCCCCGAACAGCAGAGCAGCCCGGACGCGTTACCGCTAGAATCCCGCTGCTGGGAGCGCCGAGGACCGCCCAGCGCAGCACGCGGGCCGGCCGCACCCGCTCCGCGCCGGAGCCGCCGAGGGCAGAGGCGACGCACTCGAGGCACGAGCCCAGGGCGGGCACCCCGCGCCGGGCTGGGGGAGGGGGGGCGGCCGGCCGGGTGCCGCTCGGCCAGCACGCATGACAGCGAGAGAGCGAGCGGCCGGCCGCCGCGCTGCCATCTTCCCCGCGCCCCGCGTAAACAAGGGCTGCCCCGCCGCCCCGCAGGCCGCGCCGGCGCTGACAGCCGCCGGGAGCCGCCCGCCCGGGGGACACTCGAAACCGAAAGCGCCGCGCAGAAGGGGCGCGGCGCGCCGCCCCGGCTCTCGCCGCCGACCCCTTCCCTCGGGCGGCCGCCTGTCACCGCCCGGCCCGCCCAGCCGCAGGAGCCGGCGCCGCGTCCTTACCGTGCCCGCGGTGCGGAGGCCGCCTCCTGCGCCCGCCCGGGACGGCGGCGGGCGGGGCCGGGCGCCGCCCGTGCACAGCCGAGGCCGCCCCGCGGCGGCGGCGGCTCCGGCGGGCGGGGCGGCAGCCGCGGCTCAACCTGCCCGGCCACCCCGCGCCGCCTCTGCACATGCTCGCGCCGCCCGGCGGGGCGCTGCGGGCATGCGCGGCCGCTCGGCCCCTGCGCAGGCGCCCGCCGCAGCCGTTGCCGTTGCCCCGCTCGGGGTGCGGGCCGTCCCGCAGGGTGCCGCGCCCGCAGCCGCCGCCCGCCTCGGGGCGCCGGCGCTCGGCCGGGCCGTGCAGGAGCTCGTCCTGGGGACGAGCCGTCCGTGTGCGGACTCAGGCACGCAGCGGCGGCTTCAGTCCCCGTCGCGTCAGTCAGTTTTGGTGCCTTTCGTGAGGCAATCCGGCGGTCGCGGTTGTCAGCGCCAGAGCACAGGCTGTACGAAGTCGGGCAACTCCGTAGCGCAGCGTTTATCGGGGTCCTGAACGCTCACAAAAGAGGGTTCCACCCAACCGCCTCCGTCTCTTGGCTTGGGAGGTTCGGAACAGAGCGACAGACGCGGGGCTTTACCGTCTATAAGTGCCCCTATGGACACGATAACAAAAGCCTCACGGAAGCCACAAGCATTGCACAGCCACCCAGCTCCGCGCCCTCCGTGTAACACAGCGCGTACCGCAGCGAAACTGAAGTCTTTCCACACGCCGAGCGTGCCGAACCTTCACCGAAGCGCACACGTGGGTGCTGTTTGGTTGCTGGATCTCCTGTTACTTCACGTCACCCACCTTTCATCAGTAGCAGGGGCAGATCTTTATACCGAGCCCTGGCAAACGCTGGTAGCAATACCGGACACGCTGAGACACTTAGTATCTCTGTATGACACAAAGCAACAAATGTTTCCTCCAGCCCTGCACTGCTTTGTACAAGAGTCACGTTATTCTTGCAGAGACGTGGGACCTCATTCGAGGACCTAATTTTACCCTGCACATAGCAGGGGGTTGAAACTAGGTGATCATTGTGGTCCTTTTCAGCCCAGGCCATTCTATCATTCTATGACCGTAAGTCTGATGGTTCACGTTTGTATTCTGAAGCATAAATACCAGATTAATAAAGATTGTATCTGTGAAGAACGCCAGACTGTGTGCCTGTTGGCAAGAGCTGACAAGCCTTGGACTCCAGGTTTGGCTTCCATCTTGCCATCACAGCCTCAACACCACAGTTTGCCCTGGAACTAAGTTGCTCGTTGCAACAAGCAGAATGAAAGGGAGCTGTACAGTTAAGCTTATTAGAAACAATTTAGTGAGCAAAATCAAACGTTATTTCTTTCTTCCTGTTCAGCTCCAGCTTTTGGGGAATGCTTTCTCTGCTCTGCGTTCTAGTATCCCTACTGCCTTTGATTGAGTGCCCTCTTCCGTTTGATTACGTGAGTGCACGTTAACCAACTGTTAATTACTCCCACGTAGCCTTCAGTGGAAAATAGCATTTCCCAGTCACTACTGAAGAACTTCAGTAGCCTGAAGGAGGAGGAAGGCGGGAGAAAATCAGTTTACAAGAAGGTGATCTATGAAGTCTCTGCAGACCTCTGTATGTTAACTACAGAGAGGGAAAGAAACACAGAAATTGCTATCCTGATACACGTTAATCTCTCTTTTCTTCCACTTCTTCATATTTTCCCCCTTAATTCCATTGGTTTGCACACTGAAGTCAATACCAAACAGGGCAGATGCAGTACCGATGGCAGAGCTTCCTGTACGACACTTCTGCTGGGGCACAGTCAGAGCTCACATGCATCTTTTTGAGACTTTATTAAGTAAAGAAGGTTTAAAATAAGGATAACTATCACTGAATAAGCAAGATTCTAGATAACTAAATGACACTGAATCCGTACATGAAGCCTATACATATCAGGATCCCTTCTTCCTATCCCAGTAGAGCTGGAGGAGCCAACATCTCCTGCAGCATCCCAGGAGAAGGAGTAAAGCCCAGAACGCAGGAAAATCCTGTTACTACCACACCATTCAGTGATCACGGCTGTGGAATAAACTCCTCTCATTCTGCACATCTTCTGTTTGCTGCAGCAGTAAGCAGAGCAACGGGAGCATGCAACCAAGAAAAAAAAAAAACATTCCAAAGAGTAGAACAGTCCATGTGACAACAGGGGCAGCACTCTAGAAATAAGCTAGTTAATCCACAGGCAGCAGACCAAGCAATATTTGCTCCTACATCCCTTGGCACAGAATACCTTCCGTCTTCACATATGTCCCCTCAATCCATGTGTGCCTGTGCTCTATAAGTGACACTGCCTTATTTCCTGTCATCAGGAAACAGTGCCTGCAGTAGCTGCACCTCCAAGGTGGTACCAACTGCAAGTAAATGCAACAAAACAAACCACTGAGCTCCTAGGCTGTCACTCAGCTGGGAGGAGCTTTGAGTTCTTCCCCTTCTGTGCTAAAACAGGAGCTGGGAGGGCTGGTTGGTACAAAACTGGAGAGAAAGATGGAAAAGAAGCACAGCCCCAATGCTTGGTTCAGTGTTTTGTGGTTTTTTTGTTTGTTTACCAGACAACCAAGTAAAAATAGTATTTTATCACATCATCAAATCTCTATGCTCAGGCACAAGAAATCCTGGTTCAGGCATTTCACTCTCAGATTTTACAAATTTTGAGTAAAACCTGCAGTTTCAGGTATCAGTTCAAATAAATTGTCTTATATTTTTAAGAAGCAAGTAAAAAAAAAAAAATTCTGTATTGATATGAGCATGGGAAAGGGTACAACTGAAACTTGGATGGACTTCACCCGTGCCCAGCACACCAGCTAAGCAAATTATTGCTGTCACAGCAGGTGGTCACCCTTCCATGAACCGGCACTAGAGGGGGGTAAACGCTTCACTGCCTGCTTTTGCAGACACTCGCCGAGCACAGAGAAGCATTTGGCAGTTCAGACAAAGACAAGACTCTCAAGTTTTACTCTGGGATTTCAAGTATATTGTCAAGCACGGCCTTTCTCCCCATCTCATTTAGTCTTGCCATCTTCCTACTACAGGACATTACGTCTGCCGTTAATGCAGGGTAAAAGAGTTTTGAAGCAAACCACATTGCACTGTGTGCCATCACAGCTGAAGTTGATGACACATTTCTAGTTTCCTTCAAAAGCAGTGCATAGAGGATCCCTGATGTGAAGCATATATACAGCTTATCCTGAAACTACTACATTATTTATTTGGAAACTGGGAGATGATCAGCTTTGAGAAGCACCCTGTACATTGAGCTTTTGTTCTTCGTGCATCAGTTACCATGGGCTAATACATAGCCCTTGTGGTCTGGCTGCCATATACCAGAATAACTCCAGAGGTTAAGAGGCAGTCAGCAAGTCCTACAGTGTCAAAAACCCTACGTAGAAATTAGAGCTTTTTTTTCCACTGGGAATTAGTGAAAATAGCTAAATTTGAAATAGTATAATTAAGAGCATACATCTACCTATCATAGAACGTTTAATCTACCAGATAACTACAGACTGACAACCAACAAATATCAACCTAAGACTTTTATTCCAGTAGCTCTGTCTATAAAAACTCTGCTTAATCACAGAGGCTTTACCCTTTAAGTAGAAGAGCTTTATGGTACTCAGGAGCCTGATTTTGCTTCAGCATTATTCCAGGTATTTATAAACAAGTTTTCTGTTGGGACACTTATTATTTACTATATCATAAAGGAAGGAGCATGACATTCTTTACACAATGGGTAGGAATGCTATAACACTGTAATTACCCTTTCAGCATCTTCTCAAATTTCTGCTTGCAGACAAAGCAGTCAGATCTTTTGGTTCAGAGTTTCTATATAAATTGTGTACACTATACCTTATTTAGGCTTCATTTAGAATTATTGTTACGCTGTGATGGCTGTAACAGTTTCTAGCTGATGAGGATCTCTGTAAATACTTTTTGGTAGATACACACTTGTGTGCCTGCAAATAGCTGAACAGGGTTAGGACAACACCGGCTTGCAAACTGATTATTATAGATACTTTCATTATTAAGACAACAATGACAAGTCAAGAAATGGGGGGAGGAAGGTTATTGGCTTAGATACTTTTCCCTGCTCTTTTTCACATTTGGTCCCACTTGCAACATGCCCCTCTCAGAGGGAGAATATTTTGACACACAACTGCTTGTTCCGATTTTCATAGCCATTAGACCCTGAAGATCCTTGTCCATTTGAATACCTGTGCCGTAGCCACCTATTGAGATTTTGCAGGCCACATGCTAGCTCTCAGGGAAGCTTCACAACAGCCTAAATTTCTCCTCACTTGTACAAGAGTCTTCTCTCAACACTCCGTTGTTTGTTTTTTAATGCCACATACTGCTAAGACAGAACAAGACAAAGATTATAACAAACCAAAGTTTGGTAGGAATGGGGCTCAGCACCCCCAAGCAGGAGGCACCACTCTGAGCAATAAAGACAACCTCAAGCAGCTTTCTTTTGATGCTCATTGTTTCTGTCAAGTTGCAATACAGTACTTATTGCTACTACATGCACACAGTTCTTGTTCGCAGAGCAGCAGCTTTAAAAATGTTTACTCTGGGCTTCTATGGTGCAAGAAAGCTTAGCATCTAAAATGCTTACACAGGAAGAAAACCAGGTGTTTTGTACAGCCAGATGTCCTATGGTTACAATTGCAAACAGGTAATTTACATAAGGTTTTAACTTCCTTAGAACTTTTAACTTTCATTTTGGTGTGGAATGTGATGGCAGCATAACTAAGCACCGCAGTTTGGACCAAAAGAAAGAAATGAAAGTAGACACCTGGACAACCAGGAACTAGAACAAGCTCACCTGGCAGGGATACAGTGAAGCCTACTGCTTCTCTTAGCACATCTATCCATTGCATGCTGGGTGGTGCTCTGGCACTTGGTGCTGGGTGCTACTTTCTAAAGCAGAGTTGTTAATGACAGCAGCGTCTGTCTAACTAAAGTTGTATTAGGTTGTCTGTTGCAGCAATGAACACTGGTCCTAACATGTAATGTGTGGTGTGACAAACTGCACGGCTTGTTTTATGTCTCCAAGGAAGAGTCTGAGGTTTCTCACAGGAATCAGCTGGTTGATTGCCACAGACTTTTCTGGTAAACTTTTCAAAGGCATCAGTGCTGCTCACTGGGAAAAAGAAAAAAAAAAGAATGCATTTTAGATGGATGTTTAGCAACAGACTTCATTCATCAAGTCTATTTCTTTGCAAACATACAAAGCACACTGTATTTCCAACTGCAGGTTACATGAATTACAGCACATAAACACTATTGCCGTGTAAATCCTACTCGTGTGATGGCTTGTAAAAACTTGCTCAGCTACCCCACCAAAGCATGATTCAATGTATCCCTTGACTTCAGCCCTGCTACTCAGGTGTAAGTTATTTCCCTGCATGCTGGGCACATTTGCTACTGCTTACATCTACAAATAGTTACTTGCTTAACTTTAAGCATGAAGTAAAGCAATCATGTTTGCTGAGATCACCAATGTAAGTAATTTCATGGCAATGCCAACTTGGGGCTGAGACCTCACACAGAACTGCTACACGCTCTCAAAATAAAGGGCAACAACAGCATGTTCATACTCAGACAAACTCTCAGAATTAATTCCAGGTTTCATCTGACAAATTCCTCCATTATTACTATTACTACCCCTTCACTGAATAAGCAGTATCTTTTTTACGTCAACTACTATAACAGTGCTGCAATTTTTAGGGCAGCAAGATGTTGAGAAAAGGGTGGGGAAAAAAAAAAAAAGGAAAAAAAATAAATACTTCCTAACACTATTACTTTCTCTCTACTGCATCATTTGTGTGTCCTCAGGTGCCTTTTGCCTTCATTTTGAGCAACACCCCAAGCTCTGAGGAGCACACTGATGACCTTTCTGCATATGTCAGCCACAACCATTAAATATCTGCTCCCCTTCCAATCATTACTCCCAGTAAAACATGAATATTCCATTTGGTAGAGGAAGATATCATAGACGAGAATTTTGTAATCCATTTTGAAACGTTGATTGTTTATATTACTGTAGATGATGAAATAAACAAACATGCACTTAAGCATGGCCCATACTGCTATATCATCAAGTTTTAAGGGTTTGTAGACATCAAGCTTTTTGAGGATACAATGAAAAGTAACACCTTCTTTGCTCTGTTTCCTTCTCCTCTTATACTGGTGCTCTGATAACTAGTGTATTAATTGCTAACTCAGAATAAAAATAATTTGCAGAGTTCCTGACCCGAGAGCTTTATTTGCTTAGCTTTCTTTTGCTTCTACTAATATATTTTCTACCAAGCTTCCTGTTCATATTCTAGCCAAGCTTTTCTTTCTCCTTCAGGTTCTATCATCATCTTAGAGTACATTTTGGAAAGAAGAGTCACATGGAATAAGAAAATATGGACAAAATACTTTTTCTCTATGAAATAATAAACACAATTGATGATACCTAAGCATTCCTTAACACCAATTTATTACAATTTACCAATTTATTTAAAAGTAATCAGTCCCATGCTTCAGGAGGGACAGATCAGACCCAGCAGTGATACTGTAGTCACTGTTTTTCCACTAGTACAAACTAAAAGTGCAGAGAGCTTAATCTTGAGAAGTGCTTTAAAAAAAAAAAAAAAAAAAAGTCTAGAAGGTAATGACTTCACCATATTTATACTGAAGATAGCAAGAGGAGTTCATCTGTATGAGCTAATTATCTCTATAATTTAAATCAGCATTCAAAGAACAATTTTTGCCTAGAAAAAAAAAAAAGTGACTCATGTCTTAATCCAGTCTGCATGGAAGATAAAGCCATGAATAAATAACCATGAATAAATAGTTCAGATTGAGAACTGAGAAAGTTCTGCTCCCTAGGCATCTAAAAGATGCTAACAATGATTCTTAAACAGTAAGAAATACTACTTTTTTCTCCTTTTTTCTTTTTTCTTGTTTTTTTTTTTTTTTTTTTTTTTTTTTTTTTTCTGGGCCATTGTTGTGTGTGGAAATGCAAATCCACCAGAGTGCACATGCAGACTTTCCACATGCCGCAATTGCCACTACCAGGGAAAGACAGAAAGGGGGATTGCAAGAAACCTCCTGCTGCAATTGTGCTGTGTACCTTTAGGGTTCCTTAGCGACTTCTTCAGGTGCCTTCTCCTCCTCAGAAACTGAAAGTGAACACAAAACACCAATGAGAAACGCTGAATAGTATACATGTAGAAGCAAAGGAAATAACTTACTCAGCTATGAACAATAAGGACTAAGGGGAAATGAATTCCTAAGTCATACTAGGCATGCAGACATTTTTCCTTTAAACATAACACATCTAGCTGTAATAGAGTTTCGGGGCCAAACCTCAAAACTGCTTTGAAAAATCTCTGCTGTGATGATTTTAACACACATTGTTCTTTGCATGCTATTCTATCATTCAAACTGAAGAGCAATCCTTAATAGCTGCACTGAAACATTGTAAGGTTTACACATAGTGCATTCTATGCTTTCCTTTACAGTGGTGTAATTTAAGAAGATGCTATCTTTCAAATCAAGTCAGATGCTTTATAAAAAAGCATATTGCATCACATGTAGCAAAAGGGAACTTTACTCCCAGCCACTCAGCCAGGCACTGAGCTCAAATGCCACCAGCACCCAGCTTGCATCTATTTCTAATGCACAGCAAACAGTTTCAAAACAACATTTTCTAAGACATTCACTAAGTCACCACTAACAACAAGGTGTCACTTCAACTAGCTCAGTGCAAACAGCCATTAGTGATTTTAGAGATAAAAGGTTTCAGACCCAGCTGCACTCCTGCACCTTCTGAAGCTCTCCCCGACTCCTCAGCATCAGCGTCCTGGCTCCTCGTGGCTGTGTCAGACATCTCTTGAGCTGCTGAGGCTACTCCTTCCTTGACACTGTCTAAGTTCTCCTCATGGGCAGAAGCAGCTGCAACATCCAAGACTTCACTCACAGTTTCTATGAATCAAATTAGACAGATAATAGTCTTGTCTTCCCCCTCAATTCACCAGCACAAGAGGGGGAAAGCAGTCAAGGCTCACAAAGCGCAAAGCGCCCGCCTACCAGGTATATTGGAAGTAATTGAAGGCAACAGGGTCTATGAGATGATTAAATTTTGCTATCCAAAAACATTTTCGCAAGTGGAACTCCACAAAATGTTACAACAGGTATCTGACTCTTCCTAGCCCTGAGGCAGAAAGATTTAAACGTGAGCTATATTCACATATTTAGAAAAAATGTTCTAAGCTGTGTATTCTCTTTCAGTTACAGATTTTATTTTCTGCTTTCTCCCTAGCTGTTAATGATACACAAGATACTGATGATTAAGATTCCATAGAAATAATCCTCATTTGATCAACAGCTTCAGACATAACACATGTATTCCGTGCATCCTTGCAAAGACGCCTTTAGTTTTAATGTAGAAGTATCCTAACTTCAGGCTGCGATTCCAGCACAGCATGATTGCCAACTAGCCATTTTTCAGTTCTCCTTAAGGATAAGGCAATATATATTTGTGTAGCAAAGTCCATATTACGTCTACTCATTAGTACATCTATGCATGCCTACACTCTCCAGGGAGATCAAACATATCATTCGTTATTTACATTCCAAATTTTACTCCGGTAAAATATCTCCTATCATAACGTCCTAAGGTTTGTTTGTACATATGAGTAATTGTCCTTTGTCACTTCAGAACACTCTACCTTGTACTCTGATTCTTTAGGAAGTGGAGTGGCACTCACACTTATCCTGAGTGCACGTGGACAGAATTCTGTTGGAGTGACCTTTCTGATGCCAAATCACAAGTGCTCTTCTCAAGAGGAAAAGGCAGGAAACAGCTCATATTCAGAATATGCCTGCCCACAGCCATATCAGCCATGGCAGGTTAGAGCAGTCACTACCCACTGCTTCAGACATTATCTTCAGCAACAATTTGGACTGGCCCAGGAAGATCATTTAAGCACTGCCTATTGTCCTATTGCAATTAAGACTAGCTACTTGATGTCATTTGGTGTTCTGAGCACTGTGAAAATAAGTCCTGCTCATTTTGTAATTGTTGCTACCAGTGCAGATTTCTTGACATATACGCAACTAGAAGTTGCTTCACATCAACCTCATAAAAGCTTATTAAAAAAAAAAAAATTATATAAAAGTATATAAAGTTTAGTAAAGCATTGGAACAGGTTGCCCAGAGAAGCCCCATTTATGGAGACATTCAAGGTAAGGCTGGACAGGTCTCCGAGAAACCTGATGTAGCTTTAGGTGTTTCTGTTCATTGTAAGAGAGTTGGACTGGATGACATTTGAGGATCCCTTCCAACACAAATGATTCTGTATCAGTACAGATATAGAAAACTATTTAATACTTACAAGTTATTAGCTTCCCCGTATTATTATAATTAGAATTTAGGTGGGAAATGCAATCAGCCACTCTATGTGGTCATCTGTCGCATTACCATTCTGTTCCTCAGGAGAGTGTCACGCGTGCTTCATAGTCTAAGATGCAGTAGGGCATAAAGATCAGGAAGGATCTTTGGTTGATTTTGGTTGTTCAATTTCATATTGAACAGCTTGCAGAGAAGTGCAGTGCTCTTTCCCTGTATTTGCATTGCCAACGTATCTCCCATCGTCAGAAACATGGTGTTGTACCAGTCCATAAACACAAAAGCTATCTCAAACATTAACCTGATATACCAAAACAAGTCTACTTATTGCTCTGTAAGAGGCTCCATCTTGGAAAAAAATGCTGTGTTCCACTCACCAGGCAAACACATTTTTCTCTGCTCTAGGGAATCCCACTGATCCCAGGCCAACTCCAGGTTAACGATTACCTGAGAACAATCTGAAATCACCCTCTCTTTCAGAATCACATCTGTGAAGAATATTAAATATAACAACAAATCATCATACCTGCCTCTTCTATTGATCAACTAGTAGCACCAAGCTCTGGAATTTCTCCTTTTTGTTTCCCTGCATATTGATTTAACTTCTTGAAATCACTTCTCACTTTCATTAGTTTTACAATTCTACAAAATTTAAGCTGCTTTATTTTTCAAAATAGAGCTCTAGAGATGTTCTAACATCTTAATTGATGGTGTTGCTCCTTGAAAACTGATCAGATTGAAATCTTGATGCATTTGCACAGCAATGACTGGGACCCATTTTCTCTACTTACACCGGCTTTATTACATTTTCTAAGTGGTTTGAAAATAACCTGCATGTTCATTGCCTCTCTGCAGTGAAGGCACACAGTAGTTAAGTACTGTTTGTAGCATTTGTTCCACTGAATGCCCAGCTGCTTGATCACAGTTACTATACAACACTACTGCAGCTCCTCAACATCTTTAAAAACAACATATTTGGAGTGTTCCAGTCAAATCTATCTCAAATGATTCATCCTGAACCACATAATGTAAAATCTAAAAATGACATCGTCCTTAAAATTCTTAGTTTCTTTCTAAGTGTTTTCTTCTTAATTCTGCAGAAACAAACAAACCAACAGAACACCATAGTTTATCAACAGAGCTGCAGCTAGATGGTTTCATAATTCGACAGTTTCATCCAGTGTTTTTTCCCTACATCTATTCTTATTAGGACATATTATCCTACAGACTCCATATGCAACATAGCTTCATACAAGGCATTATACTGCTAGCAAAATTTCAGCCTTCATGTAAAAAAACTTTGTTTCTGAAAAAAAAAGGACTTATTTTTTATACAATTCTTCATCAGACGTTTGTCAATTATAATTTTTTCCCTGGAATAACAGCTAGGTCCCAGCATCAGTGGATACTATTTTCATTTTGCTAAGTATTTGCATATAATACTGCACTTGCAGATTTGAATTAGGAGCTTAATCTTCTTGCTCTTGTAACAAAAGATAACAGACTTCAGGCCATCGAGAATTCTATCCTGCTCACTAGCTGATGACAGTAGTTACGCTTTACAAATCACAGAGTACAAAGTCCTCAGGGTATTTTGGCTCCTGGCATGGTACTGCTGCACGACCATCAGTACATAACTCAACACCTTTATAATAGCCATTGCTTCAGTTTAACACTGAACTCTAACAAAATACCACTATTTATGCATAAGATAATTACATGCACTCATAAGCAGGTTTCAGCTCCTTTGCTTTACAAGATCACTATTTAGAAAAGAAATGTGCCCTTCCAAACTGTGCGTGCAGAAACACGGTTGGGCAAGAACCAACCATGCACTACACATGCACCAAACAATGCCAAACTACTTACACTCTGGAAACCCACCTGTTTTCAATTGAGTAAGTATGGACAAGGAAATTGACTTTTCAGACAAAAGGAAATTAAGTTTTTGTTTTGTTTTTAAACAAAGCAGCAGCATTAGGAAGCTCCAGTTGGCACTATGTCCAATATCTAATTCCACCCAGAAGTACAATTTTTAGAGAATTGTATCCCTATCATTTCAGTGAAATGATCTTCCTTTTGTATGAAGTTATCATTCCTGCAGTCTCTAAGAACAGTTTTTACTCCTACAAATTAAAGTTCCAGCATTGAGGAAGCAGGACTTCTCTGTGTATTCACAACAGAACAGAAAGCATTCCAAATGCATTGCGTTTCTGCATTCTCATGATTTTCAATTGACTGGTCTTAATATTAGCAAGCTCAGCATTCTCCCAGCAGAACAGATAAGCATGATAAGCAGGGACTTGTATGCCCCATATGACTGACTGATGTTTGGGCCAGATAATAATTTAAAATAAAAAAAAAAAAAAAATTTCAAATCACAAGTGTTGACCTTCTCTAGCCAATAGCAACAACATACAGATAGATTTTCAGAATTCAGATCCTACTACTTTCATAACATCTTCCCCTGAAGCTTTGAAGCTTTCTAAACAAGCTTTAAACTTTCCTGAGGGACTTTTCAGAGAAGGATCAGTCTGGACATTTGTCTGGGACTCCCAGTTCCCTTCTGACGTTGAACCTATTTCCATTGGCAGCCATGTCCCACCACCTGGAAAACAAGATGTGGCTGTAGGGTGATCCTGAAGCAGGCAAGTGAAAGGGAGCTAAAGAACAAGTTGAGCAGCACTGATGAAAGTGGATGAGAAATCTGCTAAGAACTTGGCTCTTACAAGAAGTTTTATAGAAGATAACATTTCTGAGAGCACTTCTACATGGGAGCTGCTGTCAGATTTTAGAGTTCAGTGTTCATAAAGCTGGATTTTCCAAGTTCTATTTCACACCATGAACCATGCGTGAAAGCTAACAAACTGAGCTAAAAATGGTCAGATACGTACTTCTTATTTCATATGTGAGGTTTCATTGACCATTATTCCCAAGGAAAAAAAAAAATGAAAAAAGACAACCCACCACAATGAGATCAAAGAGTAGAAAAAAAAAGTTAATTTCTTCACTTCTTGCACTCATCCAGAATAACATCTGTCAACCACGTGCAGGTTAACGTGAGGTTAGGTCTTCAAACTTCCACTACAATAGCAGCTAGTTAACAGTCACTAAGGAAAGAAACAAATGAAATATTTATGTATAGAAATTATTATAATAAAGAACTGCTTTTTTTTTTTCCCTCTCCTCATGCAGATGAAATGTTTCACATTGTGAAAGCAAAACACCCTTTTAAGTAAAGACAGAGAAAATCAACTCACGCAGCGCTGCGTGAAAAGAGGGAAAAGTCCACGTTTAAAAGAACAAACAACACAGCTGGGGGTGGAGGGCACTCTGGGAATTCAGAACTTCACTCTCACAGCAAAACTTCCCCCACCTTTGGCCAGTTAACTCAGCACTGCTGCAGTGCCCTCCTTGCTCTGAGTGCTTTGCTGCTGAACACTTCTGATTACTTTTAGCAGTTTAACATTACCAGTTTATAGATCAACCAATAAAAATAGGCAGTAGGTATCATTACACTGACTTGCTTATTATATTAAAAATGCACTTTTCTGAACCATCTCACAGCCCTAGT